GCTTGTTACAGTCCAAAGTCGCCAAAAGAGTTATGCCGACCGTCGGAGGAGGCCTTTGGCGTTTGAAGTAGGTGATCGTGTTTTCTTGAAAATATCACCTAGGCGAGGTTTGATGAGGTTCGAGAAGAGTGAGAAGTTATCCCCTCGGTTTATTGGTCCCTTTGAGATCCTTGAGAGGATTGGGGAAGTTGCTTATCGTTTGGCTTTGGCACCGCAGTTGTCCGGGGTTCATGACGTCTTTCATGTTAGTATGCTTCGGAAGTATGAGCCGGATCCGTCCCATGTGTTTGGTTGGACCGACTTGGAGGTAGATGAGGATGCCTTGTATGAGGAGAGACCGGTTCGGGTCTTGGATAGGCGGGATCAAGTCTTGCGAGGCAAGACTATTCCCTTGGTAAAGGTTTTGTGAAAACATCACGGAGTGGAGGAAGCCACTTGGGAACGTGAGTTGGAAGTCCGTGAAAAGTATCCGGACATGTTCATTGATGTGTAATTTTGTAATGAGATTTTGTAATATTGTTGAACTTTAAGAGCATTGTATATGTCTTAAGTTGTGAAACATTGTAAATGTTTGGGTTAATGGAAGTTTGTTTCAACATTGCGTATGTTAAGTATATTGTGGAAATGCAAGCATGATATAAATGTTGCATGTATTATGGAATTGTGCAAGCAGGTTGCTATGAATAATGTGTTTTGCCTCTTGAAAAGAGATGGAATTGACCGGTAATGGGTCGGGTTGTTTAATATTATGTTGTAATATTGTTGAGAATGGAGAAAACCTATTTTTGAAAAACTTGTGTTTAATTTCGGGGACGAAATTCTTTAAGGGGGGGAGGTTATAGCGATCCCGGTTGCCCCTCTACTATTCTGTTGTATTCTGGACTCGGTTCCGTGAAGTTGGTAGTTGTATCTATCTTGTTGTCGTCCTTTAATTCCACTTGATTGAGTTTTAGGATGTTTTGGGCAGGGTTGTTACAGGTTGGTTAGGCCTTGGTTTCAATTCCTTGTTGCCCAGTTTTTAGGCGGTCCGCTCGAGCGGGTCTTCTTGCGCTCGAGCGGGGATTGCACACTCCCAGTTTCTATGTGTCTCTGCAAAACTTCTGTAGGTATGATTTCTACGCTCGAGCGGGTTTGTTTACGCTTGAGCGGGTAGCACTTTCTGGGTATAAGTTCTGGGAGGGGGAAATCTACGCTCGAGCGGACTGGTTTTCGCGCTCGAGCGGATGTGCTTTATTCTTGTGTCTTGGCGCTCGAGCGGGCCTTCTTGCGCTCGAACGTGTCCAGATTTTTGTTCTTGACGCTCGAGCGTTGTGTTCTCCGCTCGAGCGGGAATGTCGTATATGAGTTGGCAGCTGGGCAATTTAAAATCACTTTTTACATTCTCTCTCTCTCTCTTACTTTCTAAAAAGACATTTTTGAGAGTTCCTCTCTCTAGAAACTCCCTTCTCTCTAGGGTTTGATCTAGTTAGAGTGTTTCCTTTTCCTTTGGCCTTTACAAAAAGGTTGTTTGATCCGAGAAACTTGTGATTTGGAGCAACTTCGTTTTCATCATCTTCTCCTTCGAGTGTCATCTTTTGAGGTAGGGGTTCCTACTCACTCTTATGGTCTTTGACCTAGATTTTTAGCTGTTTTGATAAAGTGTTGTAGTTGGGTGGTTTTGGGACTTAGGGTTTCAAAATGTGTTAAAGAGGGTTTTGTGATTTTGGTCTCAAAATGTGTATTTTGGGTTTCAAAATAATGATGTTGTTGTTGGTTGTTGATATATAGGCCATTGGGTCAATATTGGGAAATGGTGTCACGCCCTCAAAATAAACCCATTATATATACATCATTGGTATGCAATATTAAAAGAAAACAATTCATTATCTCATTCATCAGAGTATTACTAAATGAAAACGTTACATGTAATATCAAATTAAATGCTCTATGGGCTTACATCTTTCCAAGCCAACACTTGGACATAAAAATATGAGTTCTAACTCAAATACAAATAAAGCCCTAGGCTTGTATGTTTATCAAATAAAAACAAATAACTAAAGATAGTCTTCAAAATCCAAATCCTTCCAAGCTAAGTCCTTGGAGGTAGCTTATCACCTGGACCTGAAAATGATGTTCCCATAAAGGGTGAGCCACAGCCCAGTAGAAATATACCAAGCTCACTCCATTAGGCGGATGACTATAGGGGTCATCAATACCATTTTCCTCAAGTTCGAGGAACTCTTGCTTTAGATTGTACCTCCAATCCTTGTATAGCAAATATGCCTTTCTATCGAGGATCTGTTGAGCTTGTTCATCATTATCAAAATCATCCCCGATAACAAA